TGTGGGAGAAGCAAGCACTGGATTAACATTAACATATGCCAGTATCTGCATGTGGGAGAAATAATTTGTCTTTTCCAGGAGATGCTGTCTCAACTCTGGCCAGCAATGGGTGGGTGTGCTTCAGGGAATTCACAGTAAGCACTGCAACTGACCAAAAAAAGGCACATGACTTGTTTCTGGTTTATGATAATCTTCAAACAAAAATTAATTAAAATAAACTTATCCCTCACTATCAAACTGGTTTTTACAGAATAAGATCAAATTTGCCTCCTTGGTCAAAGCCCAATACTGCTCAAAGAACTAAAAGATTTGCTGAAAACTCACTCACTTAGTCTTCAGTAAGCAAAAAAAAAAATCAGATTAAAAGCAAAAGATTCATCTACAGACAAAAATTATTAATAGTTTCAGTTAAGAAATCAGCAGAGTAACACATACACATATAGAAGATAGCTACCAGATTGAACAGAATGGTCTTATAAAAAGCAAAACAAAACAAAACCAAACAAAGAAGCAAACCAACCCCCCCAAAAGCAGTCATTTTAGGATGCAAAAAAATTTTCTGTTTTTCTTTTTTTTCTTTTTTTTTTTTTTTTCCCAAAAGAAAGAAAAAGCCTCAGGCACAAGACTGGTACAATCTCTGGTTGACAAGGCAAACCTACATTTGCAATCAAGAGGTGAACACGACTCTTGAGGCTCACAGTCCACTCATCTTCACAGGTTTCATAAAGTGTGAGCATCACCTACCTATCAACAAAATTACTCTGAGTTGACACACCAGAATGTATTTCTTACTTCTGAAGTTCACCAAAAAAAACCTAGATTACCCTAAAGGTGACAAAACAGACTTTTCTGTTCTCAGAGGACAGAGATGAGCTTTGCTAACTGAGCTGCTGAGGACTTAACTGCAGCACACAGAGATCTGCTTTTCAAATTCTTGTACTCACAGGAAAAGTCACCACACAAATAATTACCAGCAATATGTGTAAAAAAAGACTTATTTTTGTGTAAGGTCAGATCCAAAACCCAGCTATTCCTTAAATGAACAGTACAATAAGCCCTCATACAGGTGACCAGTTTGTGGGACATCATTGGAGTCTCAATGAAGCAAAGGTAAATTCTTTTACTCAAAGCTCAGTCTGCCTTTCCTTTTTGTTTGACAGACAATTTCATTATTATTGTAAGTTGTATGTCATCATTCATATCACAAATGTTCATACTACTATGTTAAGGCATGATGCTGAAGTACAGGACAGTGATCAATTTGACATTAAATGGGACAGTCCATCTCAAACTCACCTAAAGACTATCTTCAAATAGCCAGTAGCCCTTAAAGAATACCTGATTCCTATTATATGCTGTTTTTTATTTGGAGGATGGATATCCACAGCTTACTGCTCTTGGAAAGCTCCCACTGAACTACCACAGCTATATTACACAAGAATACTGGCACACAACTTAAAATGGAAAGGTATCTTGTGATTAAATGCTGCATCCAAATCACATGTCAGCTTTTTCTTTTTTAAAACCATGATACAAACTGAAGCTGGTGTTTTCCTTGCTATGATAAACATCACAGAAGCATATTCATCCCCATTACTTAACAACAGAACCTACAAACTCCTGCTGGTTTCTTTATCTGTTTCTAAAGCACAATTTAAAATCCTACACTGCAGATAAGGGTACACTGCTCACAAGATTAAAGTCAAGGTCACATATTGCACATACACTGCTGCCTGTGAAACAGCGATCTGTTTCACAGACTCCACATATATTTTTAGAAAGGGCTGCTCAAGTCATCAGCTAAAAGCCTTTGAATTACAGAAGCGAAGATAAACTTTGGCTTAAAAGGGAAAATTTAAGTCTTCTGTGCCAAAACAGACAAACCCCTGCTGATTTAAGGAAGTAAAGTAGTTCTTTTTATCTCTTCACAAAACCTGAAGGGGAAATCCCCAACACACTGAGTATGAACCTTACTTTCCTTCTGATAGAGCTAAGAGTGAAACTCCCTGAGAGTTGATACAACCACAAGTGGACCACCTTTGAGAAATGCTGGCTTCACAGTATGACTGGTGGCTAAGCTGGTGCTCCCTCCAGACATCTGTTGCACCTTCTGCTCAACAGGCACCTGTGCAACTATTCCTACTAAAGCTACAACAGAAGCACCAGCACCATGTAAGCAATGGTCTCTAATATAGACAAGATTTCTGCCTTCCCCAGGGAACACCATTTGCACAATACATCCTTAGTGGATGATACGTAATAATTGATACGCAATAATTACTACCACACGATCCTCATAAAAAGATGACACTTCCTAAATCAAACATTAGGTTAATTCATGGGTATCTAGAAGGGGACTCCAAAAATTCTGTTTACACAAAAAGTGAGCAGCAAAATCTGGATTTTTGACCGGCTTTAATGACTGAAAGATCTTTAAGGCATGCCCCAAAAAAACAGGGCACAGGCTGAGAGAGTGAGGCTGTTCAGTCTGGAGAAGAGAAGGCTCCAATGAGACCTTGCAGCACCTTCCAGTACCTAAAGGAGGCTTACAGGAGAGGTGGAGAGGGCATGTACTGTTAGGACAAAGGCATGTACTCACAGAACAAGGGGGAATAGATACAAACTGGAACAGAGTAAGTTTAGATTAGCTTTGTGGAAGAAATTCTTTACAATAACGGGAATGAGGGACTGAAACATGTTGCCTGGAGATTTTGTGGACTCTCCATCCCTGGAGGTATTCAGGGCCAGCCTGGGTGGGGCTTTGAGTGACCTGGTTTAGTGGAAGGTATCCCTATCCATGGCAGGGGGATTGGAACTAGATGATCTTTAAGGTCCCTTCCAACCCAAACCATTCTATGATTCCTAAAACTCCCTAAACTAGCACACGTTCTCTTTTGCCCAGTGGAACTAGTTAAGATTGCTCTTTACTAGAAGGAACAAAACTGCAGCAGCTTTGTGCAGTAGGGAGACACAGAGCAGAGATCAACACCATGAACAGGTAGAAGTTCCTATAGTGAATCACTGTTTGTACAATCAGGACTTAGCCAAAGAGCAGATCCAAAGCCCCCAGAGATGGTGGCTTCTACCACCTCTGGTGATAGAACTTCTACCTCATCGTGCAACCTGCATGTTCTGGCAGGCCACTGAAAATGCTTGAGCAGCTAAATTCTAGTTTTTGTAAGTCACTTGGAGAAGGTTCCTTTATTTACTATTGCTGCCACCGACACATACATTAGCCACCCTTTCTTTGCCTTGTTTCTGCAAGACATCAAAATTGAGAGCTTTAGAAGACTTTTCATTACATCAACATCAGTGTGTTGAGACCTTTGGCAAGTGGGAGTACATGGCTAAACAAAAGGAGGCCAATAAATAAATAAATAAAAGCAGTGTCCTTGTCATCCACAGTGCTCCGCTGTCAGCCAGTTCCTGGAGTCTGTCCTGAACTAGTTCAATTAGTCAACTTTGAGACCAAGAGATGTGTTAGGCAGGGGACATTAGGCCTAGGAATCTGTCCCTGGCCACCTTTCATTTGGCACTGCTGGCATCACTTGAAAGCAGCAGTTCCTGACCAAAAATGTGTCACTTTTTCAGACAAAATGTCCCAGACAGGACACCACATGCATGCACAGCAATCAGTTAAGTTTCCTCACAGACACTGAGTTTCCTCACAGAGGTGAAAATCTTGCAAGATGAATGGATGACAATTCATGAATTAGGTAACATGCTAAAATTCCAAGGGGGCAATCAAAAAGAAGGAATTTGCAGCCTTACCATAGGTGATCACATGATTAAGTAATTTCAATTAGCTAAGATTATTGAAGATTCTACTTTATACCCTGTATTTGTTCATCTCTTTCTAGAAATATTCTAAGTTATCTACAGCTTATTTCAGCAGGCTGCACAACTCAGAAGACTACATTAGCAAAAAAAATTTTCAAATGGAGGGAAAATTCCTACTGCTCTGCCTTTGCAGTAACCTCCCTCTGGGAACCACACTAATCCACCAGACATCATCCATTAACAGATACACTTTATTTCAAAACTGGGGAGCCTCTGAGAAATGAGCCTGATTCTCCAGAGTTTTAAAAACTCATGTGTTTAAAGGCCTAAACAATGCTTCAGTTACAAAATAGCCACTTTTCAGAATTTATGTCTAAATTTTGGACAAGCAACATCTGCTGTTCAGACTTTCACTGATTAACTACTGTGCCTAATAACACACTGTGATACTGACTTACTAAATCACTCAAGTGCCGCTTAAGTTTTTTTCACATTCCTCTAGAGGCCAAGTATACCTCCATTCAGTCTAAACACCCATCTGTGAGAAAGCCCACTCTTGTATTCAATCACCAAAATGTGGTGAAATTACAAAAATAAAAAGAGCAGTAACACAAACCTCTCAAGAGAAAGAGTGGCCTAAATAACAGCGAACATCGAAAGTGATGCTAGTTACTCCACTCTCTACCTGGGGCTTTTTGTCCTAAGATTTTTGAAGTGCCAGTGATAAGCATTGATACTTCTTTAAACAGGACAAATTACTGTCATATAACCATATAACTATCATGATTATATTTGAAGTAGTATGCACAAGGATGTTTAATGCTGGGGGGATAGTAAAAGTAGGTCACAAACACCTGTCTAAGCTTTCACTAGAAATGGGTTGATTTACTATTATAATGTCTCTCCTTCACCTCCCAAACCCCCTCTTCATAACCATATCGACATCCTGTTAATGAATCCATGGCACCTTTGAGGCATTTGTGCTGCAGGGAGGAGGAAAGGGACGATAAGGAGGAGAAGGAGGAGAGGGACAGCTGCCTCTTGTCTGCCCACGGTGCCGCAGAAATCACTGCAGCGAGCTGAGCCCGGCACTTGCTGACAGCGTCCCCGCCCCTGACGCCGCTTCCTCGTACCAGAGCCGCCCCGCCCGGCGCCGATTCGAGCCGGGAATGGCCCGGGCCTCCCCCGCCCCCGGCCCGCCCCCGGCCCGCCCGCGGTACCTCGGAGCCGGGGGAACTCGCGGTCCCGCAGCGCGCTGAGCCCGCCCCCGTGCCCGTAGCCGTACTCGCAGCCGGCGGGCCGGGCGTCGAGGAAGGCGCGGAAGGAGAGCGGCTCCCCGGCCATGGCTCCCCGGCCGTGCCCGGCCCGGCGCGGAGAGCAGCGCGGCTCCCGCCTCAGCGGAGCCTCCCCGGGCGCTGCGCTCTGGGCCCGCTCGGCTCGGCACGGCCCGGCCGCTCCGCCCGCCTCCCGCCCCGCCTGCCCCATGCGCCGGGGCCGGTCCGGCCGGGGTGAGCCGGGCACTGGGGCAGGCACAGGGAGGAGTTTCCCGTAAGGAAGAAGTCTCCCGAATCGCTGGGGGATCGGTTTGGGGGTGGTAGCAACAAGTGTACCTCCTGTTGAAGCGTGCTGTTTAAAATACTTAATGGAAATCTCTCTCCTCTAAAATTTTCCAATTCAAGCTCAGATTTCTCTCAATGCCTCTTCCATTGCTGCTAATAGCAGAGGTCACCTTCTCATATCTTGCACTTGGTGTACAATACTCGTGCATCACGTCGAGCTGGATCTCTTGGCCGTAGATGCTGTATGGCCCATGCAAAGTACCACAGCCCAAAGCCAAAGGTGTGGAACGGCTTGGTCATCAGGGGTAGAGACAGCAGGACTATTCTCCCGTGTAAAAAACACTCCTGAAAAATCCTCTGCTCTGTCAGATACACTACAACCACATACATAATTAAAAAAAAAAAAAATAGCCAAAGGAATGGGTTTGTTGGGGGTTTTTTGTTTGCTTTGATTGTTGTTTCATTGTTGGGTTTTGTTATGTTGTTTTCATATAAATTTTTTCTGACGTACTGCTCACAATGAATTTTTCTACTTACACCTCTGCAATCTGCAGAGTCTTAAATGACCTCCAGTGTTAGTCCAATACCAAAATAAAACTGCACATGTTAGGATGGACCTACATCCGAAAACTGGTAAGGCAGACTCTTGTTAGATTGTTTGAAATGCTACTGGTGGGATGCCAGTGAAATGGGAAACTACACAGAACAAACTTCAGCCCAAACTGACCTGTAAAGATTTTCACTTATAAAGTGGTACTGAAATAAAACTATTTAGAAAATTATAAAATAAGCCTGACACAAAATATAGCATGTTAATGTGCTCCTTGCTTTATATGCTAGGAATTTTTGTCTTAAACACATAGCCCTGGCTTCAGGGCATATTTTTCTATAACACTATAGAAGTGTGTTTGCCTCTGACTCTCTGTTCATGATTGGGGCAGGTATACAGTGTATGACATCCCCAGGTAAAATTGTACACCTTTCAGCCAGCTGATGATTTTACCAAAACTAATTGCCAAATAAGTTACACCTTAAACATTTCCTTCCAGATGAACAAAGCACCACTGATGAAAAAGAACAGTTGCTATCAAGTGGAGCAATGTTCTTGGCTGATCTCCTGAAGCACTTAAAAACAACAACAAAAAAAAAAAAAAAACAAAAAAAAAACAAACAAAAAAAAAAAACACAAAAAACAAAAAACAAAAAAACACCAACAAAACAACAACCAAACAAAAACCTTGCACCAAATAGCTTTTTAAAAATTATTTTAACAGTTTTTGCATTGCAATTTAGGAGAATGTATGCCATCATTATTATTTATTTTTTTATTGCAAGTATATGTAGAAAATATCTGCTATGGATTTTCCTTAATATTTCTAACTTCCTGTTATCAATTTACAGAGCAATTTATTTATATTGATGCATAGTTCCCTCACCATTTTCATATATTGTTTATGTCAAGTAGTTGTTTTCAATCCTTTATTGAAACTAGTTTTCCCCATCAAAACAGATGACAGAATGCAGCTTTCTGATCTTACAATAAATGCATGTTGAAGACCAAATTTCCATTCACATTTTTATATAAAATATGTTCCCTCACAATTGATTTGTGTCCCTTTTCTTCATCCTGATTTTTGAAGATTAGCCCTTTGGAAGTAACACATAATGGAGACAGTTCTAACTGGGAATGTGCTCTGTTTGCACACTGTATGTAGCCTCATGATAATCACTAATTATTGGGTTTCCAATAAAGTGCTTAGTTAATCCATCATAAAGGCTGACCAGAGTCTTTAAACAATAAGAGGCATTCAAGTCACTCAATGTCAGTATAGAAGTTTTTGTGTTTGAAGATTAGTATAATTTCTAAACAATTAACTAGACTTTACTGTTAACTCTTTTTCTGAGGTAAAAGCTGGAAATTTCATAGAATTTCAATACAAAGCCACAACTTTCAGTCTGAACTTGGTCACACCCACCTTGTCTAACCACAACAGGACTATCCCAAGGCACATCTTACAGTGTTCTGCTTTGACAAATCTTTTCTGACAAGGCTGCTATAAAATTCACAGAGTAATGGTGTAGAAAGCCCACAGCTAGGGCTTTGTCTCTGCCTTGGTCTACTGTATGAGCAGAAGAAGGTATCCCTTCCTTGTAGTAGCCTTAGATATTAATTCTTGAAAACTGTGAGTCAGAGCTTATGGGCATGATTGCATATTGTATTAAAGGGTTGAGCAGTTTGGAATCATGTAACAGGAAGCATTCAGAATGGTAAGAACCAACATAACACAGTATATGTGAAAACTGCAAAATACGTCTTGGAAGGGAGGGATATTGCTGTCAGGCAGAACTTTTGCCAGCAGAAAGCCGGATTCTCTTTGATCCTCCACTAACACTGAAAGCATTAGTGGAAATGAATGCTAAGGCCAGTAAATGATTGCACTGAGGTCAGCACAGGCACAGCTTCACCTTTGTGCTTCTATGTTACGAAGGGCATTATTAACTCATTGCAGCCCAGATTACATTTGTTACCTGTTTAGGACTGACATCCTTCTCATTTATTCATTGTATGCAAAACTTAGTTCACCCTTTTCTTTCGCATGTTGAGTCATGGAACAATAAAATACTGTTTTGCTCATTGTAGAGACAATGAGCAAAATGTATGCACTAGTGCTCCAGCCTCTGATTAACTGGTTGATCTGAAAAAATGTGCATGATCAGAACTCTGATGCTGTTACTTACTAACTGTAAACAGTTTGATTTTTGGCTTTGTTGGCTATAAGGAAAACTTTATCTAAATCAGAACATGCTTACAATTAGTTACAGAAAGCTCACTTATTGTATAGTTCTTTGAGACCACCAGTTATAAAAAAGCTACTACGGCACACAGAGCAAAAGTCAAGATTATAACTGTTAGTTTATTCCTATGGAGGAAAAAAAAACCAAAAAAAAATCCAAAAACACCCACAACAAAGCAAACCAAAAAAAAAAAAACCCTCAAAAAGCCAAAACCAACAAAACCACAAAAAGCAAACTACGCTCAAGAAAAATACAAGAATTTTTCACTTGCACCTGGTATTCTGTTTTGCACATAGATGGTTGTCTTCAGTAATGAAAATGTCCAAATTTCTCATCAGGATTAGAGGTGTCACTGTGAAATGTTTAGACATTTGGTCTGTGGCAATCTTTCACTCAGGGGAAAAAGAAGTGAAAATCAGTACCTTACAAACAAACCCCCCAGCAGCAGTACTCCATTTGTAGCAAAAGCAAGCATGAAAATACAGTTTTGTTGGTTTAAGTGGAAGAAGTCTGTTGATTTGAAGAACAGAAAATGCTTCAGCACTCAAAAGTGTAACTCCATCTCTGAAGTAGGCTCATAAAGACATTACTGTGAGACTTGGGGTTATTCCTAAATAACTTAATAGCTGAAGAATCACTGAGAAAACTGTCCCTGCTTCATGGCTTGCTGCATGTCCCCCAGCATTACCAGGGCTATGACTAAGAGCAACCATAGGTGCTTAGTACCACCCCAGTAGCTGAGGAGAAACACTGCAGGAAGGGACTCTGAGAGCAGACAGGGAAGAGACCCCTTACACCACTGCAGGGTGCAGTGGGAAGGGCACAGCACTGGCAGAGTCATAATAACCCTGTAAAACCTCTGCAGCCTCCAGTCCATTGTGGTCAACCACTTCCAGGACTGTACAGCCACATGCCTTAATCATTCCCCTATGAGGGCCAGCATTTCTAAACAAATCCAGATCAGCCAATTGAGAAGACTCCTGAGGCAGCAGGACAGGTCATGTAAGAAGCTTGAGCAGAAACACAGGTGCCACAATGATTTAATGGGGCAGGTAGGATGGGTTCCCTCTCAGTTCCCTGCCCTTTTTGCCCTCCTGTTCCACTAATGCTCACCATTTCCTCATAGCTTCAGCCTACATGTGCTTCCCACTTCTTCCTCCAGTCTATTTGCAGCACACCTTCTCTTTTAGTTGTCTTTAAATTTGGCTAATCCTTGCCTACCAGTGGTGAATCCTGAGACAGATCCCCCATTCCTGAAAAAAGTAGCAACTATTAAGAGATGGGGAAAAAACCTCTTGATAACACAGGTGGCACATTCTGCCCCATTCCCCATTCCTCTTCAAGCCTGTGTTTTGAAACTTTAAGCTCTGAAACAGAGCCCATTTTTCTACTGTTACTGACTACATCTCTTCAGTGTTTGTTGCAATCAGCCCCTGTTCTGAGGCAAACCCCAGTCCCAGCTTAGGTGGTGAACTTCGAATGGGTTTAGGCCATAAGCATCAATGCTCAATGGAAGTATTTGATTCTTGCAAATGTTATTATTAAACTTTATGTTCAAAGGTTTTAACAGTTATTAAAGTATGAATTTTTGCAACAGCATGACAAAGCTTTGTGCTTCTAATGAGAATCCAAAAGTTCAAAGGAAAACTTGATGATATAAGCCTTTGCTTTTAAAAGGCTGATTGTGTTGCAAATATGACTGCATGGGTTTGACAAACAGTAGTTAGGCCATCTTTCATTAGTCATTCTGACTAAAGCAGACTTCAGTAGAAGCACATCTGCGTGCACCCCTTGTCACCCTAAGAGTCAGGCAGGGCACAGTAGATAGCGATGTGAGAAAACCAGAAGGACCAAATGAAACACAAACTCAAAACATGTTTTAATGAGAGGGATCAAACCCAATGTTTTGGCAAATCTCATACCCCATATGGAGATCAGAAGTGAATATGGTTTGGGATTCAAGTTTTGCCATCACCCATAACACCTGTCCAGACAGGGCAATTTTATCATGAGTTGTCTGTTACACAGACAACAACTGTCCACAGAAATCAACATGAGTGATAATGCCAAGTTGGGTTCAAAATTACAGTCT